TGGGGGGGTGGGGGCATGGATGGATGGGTGCCTGAACCCATGGAGAGGTGGGGAGTCATGGAGGGGTGGGAGCGTGGACTTAGGTGTAGGTGGGTGCATGGATCCCTGAGGAGTGTCATGGAGGGATGGGTGCATGGATCCATGGAGAGGTGGGGGGAAGCATGGACCAATGGAGGGATGTGGGGGGATCATGGAGGGCTGGGTGCATAGGATCCATGGAGGGGTGGGGGTTATGGATGGGGGAGGAAGGGACCCCTGGGGACATGGACTGGTGCAGGATCCCTGGGAAGGGCCCGGAATACGGGACACAGTGGTGCTGGGAAAGCCGCCCTTGCAGGCAGCCCCCCAGTACCAGCTCCCCCCGTGACATCCCCGTGTCCCCCCAGGTCGCGCAGACAAGGACACCGGTAACAGAGCCCGTCTGTCCAGCACACCCGGCCTCTGCGGAGCCCCCGCTCGCCTGCCCGGGGGGCTCCATGCGCCGTCGGGAAGCGGCACCCCGGGCATCCGCACCCCTGCGCGCGATGCAGCGCGGAGCAGCGTCCCCAATGCCCGAGGTTTCCGATGCCCTTCCGTGCTACGTGAGCCAGCTCCGGCTGCCCGGCGCGCTCCGCAGGCGCCCGTCCCCTCCGTCCCCTCCGCGGGCACGGTGAGCCCCGGAGCTTCCCGTTGGGAGATGCTCTGCATGGAGCACAGAGCCACAGCTGAGCTGCATCCGCACCTGGAGATGCTCTTGGAGCTCGGAGCCCACCTGGATGTAGCCAACGCAGTGTGTTTTGGATCGATGTGACGCGTTTTGGATCCATGTGACGCGTTTCGGATCCATGTGACGCGTTTCGGATCCCTGTGACATGTTCCAGAGCGCCGGCGCTGCCGTGAGGCCGCTCTCCCCCACGGAGGGAGGGATCCCCCAGGCCGACAAAGTGATGAACGGGCGGGTGCCCCTGCCCGAAAAGGCCTTGTCGGAGGGTTACGCGCGGCTGCGCTACCGGGACACGTCGCTGCTCATCTGGCAGCAGCAGCAGCAGAAACTGGAGTCCGCTCCCCCCAACACCTACCTGAGCCGCAGCCGGAGCATGTGGTACTCGCAGTACGGCAACGAGGCCATCCTGGTGCGGGACAAGAACAAGCTGGATGCGCCCAGGGACACGGGGCAGTCCAAGTTTTGTGCCATTATGTGATCCCAGCAGATTTGCGTGGAGACAACCCGGCCTGGCCTCGAGTTTGGGACGGTTTGCACCGTCCCGGCTCTGTGCGTAGGATGGGTGAGAGGCTGCCTGG